CTGCCTCTTACTCTGGTCTTGATACCTCCACTTAAACTGTTATATTTTCCATGTGTATTTTTATATAGATGGAATTTTTATGCATATGTATCTGTAGAATTTGTACATATATATAAATTTATCCATGTCCTTCCCTGACTGGTGACACCCAGGGGACACACGGCACGTGCTCACGGGCTCTGCCGACAACAGCTGCCGGCTCTGGGACTGTGAGACAGGTAAAGCCCTTCCCAAATCCCTGCCTGGCATCTGCAGGGCATCCACAGGGATGGGGCAGCTCTGCCATGGAGGGTTGGGGGTGTTCAGCCTGGGGAGGAGACCTTGGAGACCCTTCCAGTGCCTGAAGGGGCTCCAGGGGAGCTGGAGAGGGACCTGGGACAAGGGATGGAGGGACAGGACAAGGGGGAATGGCTTTAAGCTGGAAAAGGGGAGATTTAGGTGAGAGATTAGGAAGGAATTCTTCACTGTGAGGGTGGGAGGGGCTGGAATGGATTTACCAGAGAAGCTGTGGCTGTCCCATCCCTGGAAGTATCCAGGACCAGGCTGGAGCAACCTGGGATAGCATCAGGTGTCCCTGCAGGCAGAGGGTGGAAAAGGTGATCCATAATGTGCCTTCCAACCCAAAGTATTCTGTTATTCCATGATTAAGCTCAGAAAAGCCCCCCAAAATCCGGTGGTCTGTGACTCACAAGTGGTTCTGCAGATCCCAAGTCAGGGATCCCCTGACCCTCCTGCCTCCCCTGCCACCCCTTCCCCTGTCCCATAACTCCCCCCCAGCCCCCTGAGCTGATGTCCCTGTCCCCCCCAGGGAAGCAGCTGGCCCTGGTGAAGACCAGCAGTGCTGTGAGGACGTGTGGCTTCGACTTTGGGGGGAACATCATCATGTTCTCCACGGACAAGCAGATGGGCTACCAGTGCTTCGTGAGCTTCTTCGACCTGCGGGACCCCGCCCAGATCGGTGAGGGATCCTCCCTGGGGCTGGGGAGGGGCTGGGGGAGGGTGTGGAGGGCTGTGCCACCTCTCTGTGTGTCTGTCCCCTCCCTCAGAGAACAACGAGCCCTACATGAAGATCCCCTGCAGCGACTCCAAGATCACCAGCGCCGTGTGGGGCCCGCTCGGGGAGTTCATCATCGCGGGCCACGAGAGTGGGGAGCTCAACCAGTTCAGTGCCAAGGTCAGGGACTGGGAGGGAGGAGGATGGCACAGCGTTCCTGTGGGGTTCAGGGGCAAACTGTAGGATTTTGGGGCTCCAAACAGCAGCTTCATGGAAGGGTAGTTCAGATTTGTGGCTCCCCTGAGCAAGGCAGATGTGCCAACCCCCCCCGCTCAGGTGGAGTGAGATGATCTTCGAGTTCCCTTCCAACCCACACCATCCCAGGATGCTATTCCATGATCTCCTACATTATTTTCAATGAGGAGGACTCTTCCCAGCTCCCTGAAACTGCCTCTTCCCCCTCAGTCAGGGGAGCAGCTGTCGAACATCAAGGAGCACACCAAGCAGATCAACGACATCCAGACCTCCAGGGACATGACCATGTTCATCACAGCCTCCAAGGACAACACGGCCAAGGTGAGGTTTTCCATCAGCAGTGGATATTTCCTGGCAGGACCTCTCCTCAGAGCTTATCACAGGGTTTTTTTTCCTCCTCAGGGATTTCAGGAAGTGGACAGGCAAAGCTCAGTGGGAAAGCTCGGTGAGGAAGGGGAGATGCCACCGTGTAAAATTATCAGTCAGGCATTGAAAATGAAATTATTTTGGCATTTCCAGAGTACTTTTGGCATTTTCCAGAATATATTGGCAGCTTGCCACCTCTGGAAGGCAACAGGTTTACCTTAGGCCGGTGTTTTGGCATTCTGGGGAAATACATTTTGGGATTTGAGTGTCCAGGAGTGACTGCACCTCCCCAGGTGAGGCCCAGCAAGCTGGATTTGTGTGAGTTAATTAATGAGCTCTCTGCCTTTTTGCCTCGTAGCTCTTTGATTGCACATCCCTGGAGCACCTGAAGACGTTCCGGACGGAGCGGCCGGTGAACTCTGCTGCCCTCTCCCCCATCTTTGACCACGTAAGGATGAGCTCCCTCAGTGTCACCCTCCTGCTGTGACCCCTGAGTTGTGTCACCAGCATGAGTGTCCCCAGCCCAGCTGAAAACCAGGACTGTGCAATGGGGCTGGGGAATTTTGCTGGTTCTGGCACAGGGAACGAGGCTTTGTGCCCTCTGGTTTCCAGCCTCGGTGGTTCTGGGATTCCCCAAAGGCTCTGCTCCCTCCTCCCCCAGCTGCCCCTGAGTGTGGGACAAGCAGCACTGAAGGGTGGTGGCTTCTCTCCTTTGCAGGTCGTGCTTGGTGGTGGGCAGGAGGCCATGGATGTGACCACAACCTCCACCAGGATTGGCAAATTTGAGGCCAGGCAGGTCCTTTCCCTCACCTGGAGCGCTCCTGACAGCTCAGAACGCTGTTCCCAGAGCACCCTGCTCCTGGAGGAGTCCTTGAACATGCAGAGCTTGTTTGAGGAATCCCTGATTGTGCCCCTTGCAGGCTCCCAGCTCCTTGTGACAGTGTAAATCTCCTTCCTTCTCCCAGGTTCTTCCACTTGGCTTTTGAGGAAGAGTTTGGCAGAGTGAAGGGTCACTTCGGTCCCATCAACAGTGTCGCGTTTCACCCCGACGGGAAGAGGTGAGGCTCTCTGGGGGTCTTGCAGTGTGTCCCAGCCCAGGCAGTCCCACTTTTTAGTTGGGATATGTCTGGACCTACAGGATCCCTGTCCTGGGAGCAGAACCAGCACCTTAATCCTCCCATTCCAGCCTCCCCTCAGGCCAGCCCAAGGGGTCACCAACACCCTGTTCCACCCTTTGGCTGCCTCACTGATCCTTTCTTTGCCTTGTGATTCCTGTGTTAGTTCCAGGAGGGGGTTGTGAGGCCAGACTTGCCCCTGGTTGCTCCTGCAGCGTTCCTGACTGTCCCTTTCCTCCCTGCAGTTACAGCAGTGGGGGTGAGGATGGCTACGTCCGCATCCACTACTTCGATCCCCAGTACTTCGAGTTTGAGTTTGAAGCCTGAAGGAGGATTTCCCTCTCCTCTCCTCCTCCTTTTTCTCCTCCAACCCCTTGCCCAGTCCATCAGCTCTGTCAAGGGGCTGCTGTAAGGCCTGAAGTTCTCCTGCTGCATTTTGGGGGCTGTGTGAAGGTGGGGAAGTGGAAACTCAAGCCAGCTCCGAAGGGCAGGAATGGCTTTTGTGGGAAGGCTGCTGGGTTGGCTGCCTGCCTGCCCCGGGGGCTTCCTGCCTGCTGGGTATATTTATACATCAGGGGAGGGAAAAAATCATCAGGAAATAAATAGAAATCTTTTGTAAACACAAGGCAAAGTACCTCTGTGGGGTTTTTTTGGTTGTTTTTTTTTCCCAGTTAACCCAAGGACTTTGTTTTCCCGGCTCTGTTGCCAGTGCCTTGTTCCACACCCATGGGCAGACAGACAGTGCTGCTTCTCCCGGGACCTCTGCCCATCCTGGCTTAACTCTTTCCCAGGGAGTGACCCAGAGCCTCAGGTCCAGCCCTGAAGTGTGAAGAGGCTGGAAGTGCAGCAGCCAGGAATTGTTTTCCAGCTGACACGCACGCGCCCGGCCCGGCCGCTTTGTTTATCTGCTGGGCTGACCCTGGGCCAACTTTCCTCATGGAACAGTTATTTCCTGCTCTAGGAGCTCGTGCTCCTCATCCTTCCCCCCTGTCTCACCCTGCCTGTCAGGAGGGGTGGTTTGTTTCTCTTTCCTTCCTCAAATCTGGGTTCAAGGGCAGAATTCCCAGCCCGGCTCTCCCAGCTTGGAGTGGCTGATGGAACAGTGAGGCTGCAGCCTCTGTGCCTTCTGTGGAGAGGGTGTTGGTTTAGTGTGAGCTCCTGGTTTTGCTGTGCCTGCCTGGCTGGCAGGCAGGTTGATGTCCTGCTCCACAGCCATCCACAAGCGCTGCCGAAATCCCACTGGGAAGGAGCATCTTCCTCCTGCCCCTATGGAAGAGTGGAATGCCGGTGTGGGCTGGGAGAGAGGCTTTACTGAAACAAGCTCAGTCTGGGCAGCCCAAAGGCTGGGAAAGGGGGTCTGTTCCTCCCTCCCAGAGCTGTCCGTGGGGTCTGTGTCCAGCACAGCACTTCCCACAGGAAGCTCCAGTGTTGCCTTGTCCTGGCATCCCACGGGACTGAACTGCCTGTGCTGCCCTTCATCTCCTGTTCTCCATCCCAGCAGTGTGGTCAGAGAGGGACTGGCTCAGCCTGTTCCCTGTGCTCTCCTTGGCAGGGGTGTTGTTTTCCTCAACCAACCGCTGGATCTCTGCCCAGGCCTCATCCAGGTGCTGGGATGGACGGATCCAACGGAGGAATAAACCTGGGAGAGAAGGGGCTGGGTGTTATTTCAGCCCTGTCAGCGAGGGAAAGGCAGAGCAGCTTCCCCTCATCCAGCCCAGCTCGGGGCTGAGGATGGATTTTGGGAGGATCCCACTCACCCTGCCAGAGCTGGATGCTCTGGGGCTCCACGGAGGGCCAGATCACCAGGGCGTTGTGGGAGTAGAGAGGGTTCAGGAGCTTCTGCTGCTCCTCAGGCCGGTTCAGCCAGGCCCAGAGCGAGTGTGTGCTCTCCTTCACCTTGCACAGGCTCCTGTGGGACACGGGGGATGCGTTTCGGTCCCTGCCAGGGCTCGTGGGGTTTGCTGTGACCCAAACCGTGACCAGGAGGGGATTTGCTGGAGTTGCTCCCTGGGGACAGTGCTGTCCCCACCCCTCTCACCTCTCCTTCTCGTTGTTGCAGAGGAAGGTGCCGTAGGCCGAGGCGTAGGCGTTGTCGAAGAGGGAGAGGAGGAGGCGCTCCCCAAATTCCAGGGAGAAGGGGAACTGGCGGCTCAGCTGCCACACACAGTCGAGGAAGAGCAGGAAAAGCGGTGCCTCCTGCTTCAGCCGGGCGTGGGAATAGGCGGAGTGGGCGCAGCGGAGGTGGAAGGGGTGTCCGGCCTGTGGGACCCCGAGGGGGGTGGATATGGGGCTGAGGGTGCCCAGCCAGGCTGGGATCCCCATCCCCCTCGGAGCTGCCGCTCTCACCTGGATCCACTCCCGCTCCAGCAGCCCCTGGAATCCCGCCAGGGTGCGGCAGGACGGGTCCAGGATCACCTGGGCCAGCGCTGTCACCAGCAGCGTCGTGTCCGTCCCCTCCGCCCCGTGCACCAGCACCGTGGCCTCCTCCCTGTCGGGATCAACCCGGGATGGCGCCTGGATTTTGTGCCATGCTGGGAGTTGGGGGAAGGAGGGGCTTTGGGGTGCAGCCCCCTTACCTGTCCATGCACTGGGCAGCCAGGCA